ACAAATTCAAGGGACTACATTTTGTTGCCACTGGCGGTGGCATTGTAACAGCTGGCGACTTGTACGGCAAAGGCTCTCTGGAATCCAGCCCGAACTATGCCGGCGCAGAGGCAAAAATGTTTCGATTTGATCTCGTCTGTTTGCGACGCCAGTGAATCAGGCCAAGCGTTAGTCACATGGTGATTCCACCTTATAACTTTAGAGTATAAGTATATGCCATTAGTAACCTCACTAGATCTCCGTCATCTTAAAGTAAAGTGTTTCGGACTTGACCACGTTTTTGGTGTCGGCTAATCTCGCACTGCGGGGATACCCCGGAGCGGGATGTAGTTCAGGCAACATATTCATTGTCTCAACAAAAATGTATACACCCCTAACCGTGAAGGCTTGCACAGAACTTATTCATTAGCTCCGAAAAAACTGCCACGAACGGCAGATAATGCACACAGGCACAATGCAGTCTGCTCACAGCACTGCAATGTGCAATGTAGTTCAGAGCTGAGCTCTAGATGCCATTGTCCTTGGTAAGAGGTGAGTTTAGTGATAAAGAGCATCGCTCAAGTAAATTCAAGTAAGTCCGGGTTTATTTGGAGCAAACACAGCAAATCACGTGCGTGACCGATCTCACGAAACGTTGACCGAAATGCCGAAATGCGTTTTCGATCAGGTAGAATTAAAAGGGTGGCGTTGTAATGCTAATTATTATGTAGCATAATCTTATTATATTTCGAACTTGCCAGGATGAAGGCTCCAAATGCACTTCTTTCTGACCTCCTGCAGAAACTGTACTTGGTAAAAAATGACTACTTAATTACCCTGAATTTTTTTCATTGATTTTCGATGGTCATATAAACGTAAATATAGTTTATAGAAAACAAGCACGAAAGTATGCCTTATTTTACTCCTTTGGTAGAAAATTATACTGTCTTTATATTTTATGCCGTAAAGAAGGTTATCATTCGGCTTAAAAACAGTTTCTGATTATGAGGTTTTTAAGACCGTTCGATGTCCATATATACAGCATCACACGTGTCCGTTTACGAATGCTCAAGCAACACAGACCGTATCTATTGCAGAATTTTATGAACTCCATATAGTATCTTCTCAAAGGCATAGAGGACTATATAATTTTCCTTACGCGGAACGCCTGTAGTATGTAGACTGAAATCGCAAAAAGATAATGAAGTAGTTGGTCAGGCTCAAAATTATTCGGGAGTTGGAAGACTCTCTTAAAACTCAAACATATTCTTTTTGGGCATGAAAAGTGAAGTCAATGTGATTTTCTATTTAAACAAAGTAAAGAAAGCATACTTTCGTGTTTGTTTTCTATAAAAGATATTTAAATTTATATGACCATCGAAAATCAATGTGAAAAAATAATGATACTTGAGTGGTCATTCTTTACCGAGTACAGTGTCTGAAGGAGGTCAGAACGAAGTGCATTCGAAAGCCTACATCCGGGCAGGTTCGAAATATTATAGGATTACGCTACATGATAATTAGTATTACAACGCCACCCTTTCAACCCGCCTTAATCGAAAACACATTTCGACATTTCGGCCAACATTTCATGAGATCAGTCGCGCGCCCACTCGTACATCGCGAGGTCACGCCATCAGTAGTGCGTGTGTTGTGAACCAAAAAACGCATTGGCGCTGCAAACACAAAATTATTTCACTGTCTGTGTTAACGCGATGGAGGACCAGTGCTGAAAATTTGGGGAACTGGAAGGCCCCAATTATTTATGTAGATTTAGACCTGGCTTACTTACCGAGACGTGCGTGACTAGGACATCATTTAGCTAATCAGGGTTTTGTGATTTTTGTCATGTGGACTTTATGTTAATATTCCTCTGGCCAAAACTGGAGCACGCCTCCTGCGCGCATGGAGTTCAGTCGCTTGCGCGAACTGCATTTATTATCTTCCAGACTGCACTTCTGACATGTACTTGTTCGTCCAGGCATGTCAGCGGGCGAAAAACGGAATCAGTTGTGTATGCGATGAAAACGCCTATATGCGATTTGTCAAGTAGTGTTCAAAGACGACATAGGATCACACTAGGAACGTTGACAGCCATATTTTCAGACCCAAAAGGCGCAGCTACGTTGCTCATTTGAGGAGGTACTTTCTCAAGCTTTGGTGTTGCGAACCCATGGTCGGATTTGATTGTGTAGCCCCACCTGAAGTAAACAAACCCCAGCCATCTGTAATACGGACTGGTAGTAATAGGAGTTTTTACAGGCTTGGCTGAGGAACGCACAGACTACGAGGTCAAGTGGGTGTATACAACAGAAAAGCTATTGGGAATGCGTAATTGTACTTTGAATGGTTGAGAACTAGTTGCCCTAACCTCTAACCCCAACCTTCTACCCCTATCACCCAACTCTAACCCCCAACCATAACCTCAACCCCAACGGTATTGTGTCCATCTTACTAAACCATTTGCCATCTTATGAAAACTAAGAGCTCTTTGAGGCAAGTCGAGCCCTTTGAATGCAGATAACACATTTCAATGCGCATCGAGTTCAGGAGGATGATTTTACGAAAGCTAACCCTGAATTCCAAGGTCTTGATATTCTTATGCGACAGCTAATTTGACACTTTGAAGACAAGTTCAATGGATGCCTTATTTTAGCTAAGTAGGAGCAAGGGCGGTGTGGTTGTGTGAAAGCAGAGCTGGTTTAGGTCTAATGAAACAGATCCAGACGCTCAAGTACTGGGACC